GGGGGGGGGGGGAGGAAAGAGAAAGCTGGCACAGGGTGAGAACTTCTAAACCTCCCACTTTGGCCCAGGGCTCCTTTCTGAGCTCTGGACTTTAGCTGCCACTTGGATTTTCCCTGCAGATGCCCTTCAACATACTTAAAGCTGGATCCATTCCACGCCTCCCCTCCTTTTAACCTGCTCCCCCCATATTGTCATCTCAGTGCTTTTAAAACTCTAAGTTGCAATCCATTAGTTGTCTATGAAATCATTCTAGGGGCTGTAATCACATTTTTTTTCTTCAAGGTACAGATTCCTTTGAACAAATCAGTGGGATCACTTGCGGCAAGGTTAAATGGTTTTGTGAAAACTTGATTGCGTGTGTGTGTGTGTGTGTGTGTGTGTGTGTGGTGGGTAAGATGTGAAATGTATTTCTTTCGGTGCGCCATGGTCACAAGAGGTTCAAAGCGGTGCTCGGTCTCTTACACAGACATCCTTATCACCCAACTAAAATAAATAGGTTTGGGAACTTTGGAGCTGCCTTTGATTTCCCCTCCCTCCTGCTGTCCCCCCTCCTTTCCAATTAATCAGCGTTTCCTGCAGATCTGTCATTCACCATCCGGACTCCACGAATAGTGACTTAACCTAAACCAGTGTCCTCTCTGCAGCCACTCCGCCCTCGTAACTGGGCTCCCCCAGTCCCCAGTCACCGTAGCCGACGGTCTTCCTCACACTCAGCTGGGACAGGGTCACTCTCTTCTTTGTTTCCTGAAAGAGGACACCCCTCCCTCCATCCCCCCTTCAGTATCCAGACCACCGACACCAGGTGAGCGCCTGACTATGCGCTGGGCGTCCTCCAAGCCAACAAGGCCAGCTCGTCCCGCCTGCGCCTGCGGTGCAGCTTTGGGAGCCCAGCCTCGCTGCTACCCCTCCCCCTCTGCCTCTTNTCAGCTGGGACAGGGTCACTCTCTTCTTTGTTTCCTGAAAGAGGACACCCCTCCCTCCATCCCCCCTTCAGTATCCAGACCACCGACACCAGGTGAGCGCCTGACTATGCGCTGGGCGTCCTCCAAGCCAACAAGGCCAGCTCGTCCCGCCTGCGCCTGCGGTGCAGCTTTGGGGGCCCAGCCTCGCTGCTGCCCCTCCCCCTCTGCCTCTTGCTCCTGCTGGCCCTCAGCATGGCCCAGAGAGCTGGGGTCCCGGTGTTGGCTTTTGATTCACGGGCAGGTTGTTAGGAAGATTGGGGATAGTGCAGGCCAAGCATCTGGCCCACAGCAGATGCTGGGTAAGTGGCGGCCAGTAGGACAGTGAGACACTAGGACCACGGCTCTTCTCCCTGCTCTGACTGGCCTTCCCCAGGCCTCACTCCGAGGGGCTTTCCTTCTCCTCCTCCTCTAAGAAGCCCCTCTTCCCACCTTTCCAGCAGAAGGAATGCCTCCTCCCTCTGCACCGAGACACTGACAGGCTCACCGCAAAAGCTCACAGGAGGAAAACGAGAGTCAGACTTGTCTGAGCTCTGCCCTCCCTGTGTCTGGAAGGCCCACGCGTTCTCACTGGCAGGCCTGGGAGGCTTCTTTGCAGAGGGCAGTGGACAGCAGGGGGACAGCACGGAGGAGCCGCGGGCATTCCAGGGACAGAATGGCAACGGGAAGGCGAGAGGCGTCCGATCCTCCCTGCTCCTCCAGGGGCAGCCCTGAGCCACCTGAAGGCCCCCTGGGTTAGGGCTCCCTCTCAGCGGGGGCTCCCTTCCTGCTGTTCCAGGCTCTGGGTGTGTGCTCCTGCATGGCCACACAGCGGCATTCCAGGGGGGACGTCCACCTCTGCTCCCCAGGGACCGCCAGAGTCCTGTTCATGCTGTTACTCAGGGCACGCCTGCTGAAGGAAGGGACGAGCACACAGACGGGGAAGGAACGGACGGGGTGAGAATCCTGCTCCCTGGGAGAGGGCAGGGAGGTGGAACTGAGGCTCCTGACGAGGCTGTCCCCTTCTCCTCTGTAATTTTAGGCTTATTCACCAAAACCCCTGCTGTTTAGATACTCGATTCCGAGAAGGGGTTCCCTGAGAGGAAGACAAGCTGCTAGACACTGAAAAAAATGTATCCTCCTCTGTAAATAAGCAACTTGGCTTTGGGGGTATGTCACTCTGCAGGGAATACCCACCTTCCCCTTCTTTGGTAGGGACATCCTGACTTTAATTACGGTAGCAATATGCTCAGCTAAAATACTGCATTTCTCAGGTTCCCCTGCGCCTGGGGCTGGCCAATGAAATGTGAAGAAAGTCATGGTGGGACTTCCAGGAGCCTGTGTAAAGGGCGACGACTGCAGGAGGGGCTCCTCATTCAGGGCTGCTGCCCTCCCGCTTCTTGTCTGGAAAGTGGACAAGAAAGCAGGAGCTCCTGTGTGCATGCTGTGATCTTGAAGATGGGGCGCCTGGTGACCATGCCATACCAGGCCTGGGCTGCCTTCGTCCAGTCTTTAAGTGAGAGAATAAGCCTTTAATTTGCTTAAGTCACTGTAGTGGGGATGCTGTTCCTGACGGTAAAGCACAATTCCTAGCTACAGTTTCATTTGAGCTTAGCATGAATCAGTACCTCAAATAGATGAATTGATCGAATTTCCTGAATCTGCAAAGCCAAGGTCCAAACATTCAACTTTGGGTACCCTGTCAATTTAGCCCCCTCAGACTGAATGTGGAGGGGCACCCAGCCCAGCATGGCAGGGGGGCTGTGGCCTTTTACAGCCACAGACTCTGAAGGGGCTCTGGGAGCTCTACCTGCCAGCTAGGTTTGCTCACACAAGGCAGGGCTCCGCTTTCCCTGAGGGTAACTCACACAGAGGCAATGGTCCACTGGGCTGCCGAGCCAAGGGCCTGGGGCTTCCTGCGTTTCCAGTCTGTACTGAGGTGGGAGTGAGGGGAGGTCCTGCGAGGCACTCCCAGGAGCCCTGAGCAGGAAGCAGGTGGGCAGGTGGCAGCCAAGAAGGCAGAACTGATGAGCATCCTGCTGACTGTCAGCAGCTCCTGGGCATGGGCTGATTTGCATGCCTGCCTGAGTCTGTCACCCCGGAGAGAAGGGGGACCAGAGGGAGAATTAAGGCAAAGATTCACTCGGGTGTCAGAATGGAGTAAATGTCATATGGCCTCCTTATCTAGGCAGAGCCTCAGTTTCTCCTCTAAAAATGGGAAAACTCATCCTCTTAATGGGTGTGAGGAGTAAATGAATTACCAGAGTGAAATCACTGTGTGGGCTCCTAGTGGAGACCAATCCTCTCATTTTTTACTGCTGTCCGGCCTCGCCTGAGGGCCCCCTCCCTTGATAAGTGCCGTTGACACTGCAGCGAGGGGGGAAAGAAATCGGAGGAGTGGGCACCAGCTCTGCACTCCTGGAGGGCCTCTGCTGCCATCGCCGTCTCGAGGTTCAGGTGACCTGCTGAATTTCACTTGGGAGGCACCCAGCTCAAGCTGCCCAAGTGAGGGTGCCCTGGCCCCTGGTAGGTAGAGTACGGGGGGACCCAGAGACATGCTGAGGCAGGCGGTGAGGAATGGGGGGCTGAAGGGGCAAGTTCAGGAGCACAGGCAGGGCTGGGAGGTTTCTCCTGCACCCATGTCACCCACTGCACCCACGGCACGGGAGTGATTTGAGCACAGCCTGCCTTGCCATGTGGGCAGCGAGGACAAAGGGCTTGCGGAGGTAGGGAAGGAGGAGGGCCCCTCAGTCAGAGGCCCTGTGTGGGCAGAAGGGGTTGCCCTGGTCTGAGGGCCATGCAGGCACTGGCTCTGTGGGCTGCAGACAGGGAGGGAGGAGGTGCTACGTCTTTTGAGAGATTCAAGCCCTTAGGGAGAGACACCACTATGGGGTGTCTGGTTCTGTAGCTCCGCTGCCCCTTTGAGGTCCATTTTGAAGTTCCCGTGTGTGGGTGCTACCCACAGGCACATGACAGGACTCAGAGTCCCCGAATCCAAGGTGACAGATCCACTGTAAACATAACAAAGATCCACAGAGCTGTTGTCACTCTCTTGGCCCTTGCTGTCTGCTCTTTCTAGGCCCCAAACAGACGGCTGTGATCCTGTCCTTTGTAGTTCTTTATATAACACCGAGTCCTGAGCTGGAAGAGAGGCCCAGGGGGCCAAATATCCACTCATCAGGCCTGGCACAACAAAGGACCAGGAGAGAGCCCAGTGCCCCTCCCTCAGGCAGGCTGCAAGGGTTGCCCTGGGCTTCTGCACTGGCCTTTTGTGGGGTAGGAGGGCCCTGTGAGGAAGGGCTGGGAAGGACTTTATCTGGGAAGAATCACTGCACTGGAGCAGCGACAGGCTTCTCTCCCCAGGCACCTGGATGGACCTTGGCAGGCATGAGAAATAGCCTGGACCTTTCAGCACATTAGCCCAGTGGGAAAGTGCATCCAGATCCACAACAACTGGCATGAAGGCCTAGGCAGTGGTTCTCAGACTTCATCACACACCAGAATCACTGGTGGGCTTGCAACAGCACAGATGGTGGGCCACCTGGAGTTTCTGATTCCTTTGGTCTGGGGCAGGGCCTGGGAAAATGCATTTCTATCAAGCTCCCAGATGCTGCTGCTGCTGCTGGTCCCTCTCCCCCCACACACACACTTTGAAGCCTAGGGAAAAAAGGGGGGATCAGAAAGGACTGATTTGGGGGAAGGCCCAGGCTTGCGGCCTTTGGTGACACTGGGTGTGCTTAGGGTGGGGCAGGTTTGGGTGGATAACCCTGAAATGGCTCACAATGGCCCTAGCCTCTTCCAGTCAGGCCCTTGTGGAAGCCCAGCCCCCCTGAGTGTAAGCTGGACCCAGTAACTTGCTTCTAGTAAATGGAATATGGTAAAAGTGACCAGATATCACTTCTGAGATTAGTTTCCCAAGACTGTGACTTCTGTCTTGCTCTCCTCTCTCTGCTCTTCTTGGCTCACTTGCTCTGAGGAAGCCATCTGCCATGTTGAGAGCGGCCTTCTGGAGAAGTCCACCTGGCAACTGAATCCTCCCAGCAACCATGTGAGTGAGTTTGGGAGCTGAGCCTTCTCTAGTAGAGCCTTGAAGTAATTTGAATGGAGCAGCCCTGGCTGATACCTTAATTCAGCCCTGGGAGTTGCCCTGAGCCAGACTCACCCAGCTGAGCCACACCCAGCTGCCTTATCCCCAGAGACTAGGAGATATAAGGCTTGTGGTTTTAGGTCATTACATTTTGGAATAATTTGTTATGCAGCAATAGGTAACTGCTACAGAGTTATCGAATGAATTAATTTTTAAAAAAAGGCAAAAATGGATGGATGGATGGCTTGGCCTGCCGGGTGCTGCTTATACCATTGGTCTCTGGCCTGGGTGTTAGTCCCCTCATGTCCTCTTATCACCTGACACTGCTCAGTCCACGGGGGCAGAGGTGTCCAGAGTGAGGAAACAGGAGCCCTGTCATGATGCTGCTGCTTCCAGAGCCTGGACACTAGCCTTGGACTTAACCCAAGGGTCCTGATTCCTAGGTCTTGGTGTTCAGGGTCCTAGAGCATTGGTCCTAATTCTGTGAGACTCAGACCAGTGCAGCTCAGTGAGTAACTCTGCCCTGAGCATGAACAGAGCGAGTGAGGGTAGGGGCTGGGCAGCAGGATGGCTACCCAGCAGACCCGGATATGCAGCCTGCCACGCTCTCCAGAGAAGGTTCACCCACCTTGCCCAACAAATCCTCTATTTCCATCAGAATCCGCGCTCTCCCAGCTTGACCTCCCTCCCTCTCACATCACTGCTCTTCACTTGCAAGTGTGGCTTTTCTGTAGCTGTGAGTTTTGGGGTTGATAACCTAACCTTGCAGAGCCTCAGTTTTCCTCTGGTATAAAATGAGACTAATAACATCACCAGGACTGCCCCCCCCCCCTTCCTGGGGCCTCACAGTGTGGGAGAAGGGGAAGGGGAAGCAATGGGCAGTGACCAGGCACAGTGGGAGCTTTGGGCTCTGGAGGAGTTCCTAGTAGGTCCCAACCCTATTAATGAAGATTAGTGTTCATTCCATTTGTACCCTGCTTCATTTTATGCAGGATTTATAAAACTACATCCAATGTTATAAGATAATACAATAGTTGAGAAAACAGGGGTAAATAAGCTAAGTAAGTAAATACTTTATAAAATAGAAGTCTTTGAATAGCTGTTTGCTACCATATATTATCCAAAGTGGTGCCCAGTGATGCCATGGTTTGTGAAGACATTTGAGTGAGTGTACAGCGGGGGCGCAGTGAGCTACGCAGAGGGCCCCTCAGGAGCGCCTGCCACTGGGCCCCACTCCCTGCAAGGCTGTCCTGCTGCATCTCAAGCCCGGGTGAGCAAATGATGGCCCACGGGCCAAATCTGACTCTTGAGCTAAGAATGTGTTTCTGTTTTCAAATGGTTGGGAAAAAAAATAAAAAGATTAATAATATTTCAGGACATGAAAATTATGTGAAATTCAAATTTCAGTATCTATAATTAAATTTTATTGGAACAAAGCCATGCTCATCGTTTCATACTGACAGCAGCTGCACCCACGGGCCAGCAGCAGAGCTGAGCAGTGGTGGGCTGGCTCGCAAACCTAAACACGCACCCCCTGGCCCTGCAGGAGCCATTGCTGACCGCTCCTGAGCTCGGCCTCTCAGGCGGGGCTGTCCTCCCCTGCATCTTGCCGCTCTCCTCCCCAGGAGTCCAGCCTTCCACACTCTCTCTGAAACTCTGGCCCTTGAAAGCCAACACCGCAGGGACCTGCAGACAGGCCCGTCTCAGTTCCCCAGGACGCAGAGGTCAGCGCATGAATGATTGAGAGCATCAGCTAGGCCCAGAGATTCTTTCCAACCACCGGTTTCAGCTTCTGTCATCACTCATTTTCTCCCAGAGCAACTGAGAAATACTACATAAACTGCGGCTCTGTCCAGGGAAGAGTGACATGGCCGAGAGGGGGCATGAAAGGGACAAGAAGGAAAAGCAGGGGCTCCCAGGGAGCCACAATGAATGATTAGCAGCTGGAGTCTTTCAGGAGGCGTCATGATGGTCAGCTGGTCCCTACCTCCTACGACAGGGGAAAATGGACAGAACCATCCTCCTCTTCGCTCCTGCTGCTGCGACGGGCTCCGCGAGGCGGGTCACTCAGAACCTCTCCTCAAGGAGTCAGATTCTGTGACCCATTGGTGCCCCTTCCTCAGTTGCCCTCTTTCCCACATCTCCTTCCTATGCCCTGGTTCCTGCTGTGTTCTGATGACTTCTTTGGACCCTGACCCGGCTCTGGTGAGGCCAGAGCATGGAGATAGCCATGGCCGTGGCCTCGGCAAGCCCAGCCTGGTCCCCCCAGCTATGCCCATACCCCAGGCACCGAGAGTCTGGCCTTAGAAGTGACCTTAGACATCATGTTGTGCAGCCCCCTTACTTTAGAGAGGAGTAAACTGAGGCACGGCTAACAGAAGCTGCTCAACCCAACCACATGTCTAATTAGGGGCAAAGCCCACTTTGGACCAAATACTATTTCACTTCCATTGAGGTTCAGCAGGGAGGCCATTTCGATGCTTCTGGCTTGTTTCAAAGAAATACTTTATGTGAAGATACTCAGGCTTGGCTCAGGTTTGAATAGGCTTCTTTTTAGTTTGATTCCTGGCTAAATAAACAGTTTGGGGCTTGGCAAAACAAAATTATGATTGCACCTTCTCTTTTGCCTTTGTGAACACATGCAGGGCCCGGGGAGCCATCCGTACAGTGTGTGTGTGGGGGGGAAGTATACGTGCAAGCCGGCCTGTGACATGATCGCCTCGATTCCTCTATTTCCCCGCTTGCAAACCGAGGTGCAGGGCTAGAGTAGAATTCACAAGATGGGAAGGCCTGGCCCTCTGGGCCCCATGAAGGTAGAAAGGGAGGGTTCTATGGTCTGAATGTGTCTACCCAAATCCACATGTTGAAACCTAACTGCCAAGGTGATGGTGGAAGGTTGAGCCTTTGGGAGGCGATTAGCCATCAGCAGAGCCCTCAGGAACGGTTTCAATGCCCTCACAGAGGAGACCCCAGAGAGCTCCCTTGTCCCTTCTACCACATGAGGATGCAATGGGAAGTTTGTGACCCAGATGAGGTCATGCTAGTGCCCTGATCTTGGATTTCTGGCTGCCAGAACTGTGAGCAATAAATTCCTGTTGTTTATAAGCCACCCAGCCTGAATGGACAAACGGGAAGGGGAAAGTGACATGGGGAGTGAGCTAATGAGCAGTAGGAGGGTGCTCAGCACTCTGGGAGGAGGCCCCTCGGAGGCCATGTCCACCAGAGACAGCACAGAAAACGTGGGGCCCTGAGAGGTAGCTGTGCTGAGCCTCTCCTCATTCTGTGGACAATTTCCCTACCAACCCCGGGAAAATGCCTGATTTGTTACAGACAAAATCAAGAAGTAATGTTTTTTATAACCGTCTGAGTTGAAAAATGTCTGATTTTGTAATCTTGCTATGCTGACTTTGGTTTCAAGAGGAGATCTCATTTTCTTCAGAACTTTCACTCTAATGGGCTGTAAACCAAGATTGCTTCCTGGGGCCATTACCCTTTCTTTAAAGACATGGCTACTGGATGAGTGGACTTTTCCCTAACCCCATTTCCCCAGTACCGTACCTCCCGGGACCTCTCTGAGATCAGAATGAACCCGTTGTTGTCGATGATGAAGCAGTCCAGGTCCTGGGGAGAAACCCAGAAGGGAGGTGAGCTCAGGCCCTGCCCCCGAAGCCCTGGTCCCCTGCCTGCCCTGGGGAAGGCAGGCCTCCCCGTCTAGTGAGAAGGTATCCTCTGTAGAGCCCAGCACTGCAGGATAGAAGGGCCCTGGGGAGGGAGGGGAGCTGGCCCATCAAGAGGACGTGATCTGAGGGGTCCAAGGCTCCCACTTCCTCCCGCTTCACAATGGGGAAGAACTTACACTCTCCCGGCAGCTCTTCGGGCACGGCCCATCCCCCGCACTGCACTGGAAAGCAGAAGAGAGATTGTCAACTGTGCGTGCCCGGTCTGCATGGTAAATATGTAGTCGATGAGTGTGGGAATGCTGCGTGTGGTACATTTGTGCTGTGTGTTGATGTGTGGGGACTGGGGGTGTGTGTTTATGGTATACTAGTGGTACCTGCGCATGTGTGTCTATGGTATCTGTGCTTGGTTTGTGTCTGTGTATGGTATGTGTGGTGTGTGATGTGTGTATGTGTGCATGTGTGCACTTGATGTGTGTGTGTGTGTGTGTGTGTGTGTGGCGGTGTGTGGTAGTGGGCAGGGCACTGAAGCAGTTTCCTTGCCACAGCCCCGCAGCTGGGGCTGGGGCAGAAGGTAAGAGGTAACGCTGGAGGCCTCATGGCGGCCTGCTTGGTGTGGTGACTGACCCCCGGCTACGGGGCTCGCGCTGCTTCGGCTCCATCCCTTCCGTCTTCATTCTCTGGTTCCCTAAACTTGCTCACAGTGAGGGCGAAGCAGCAAGTGAGTGGGGCCACGGCGCAGAGGAGGCTCGGTGCCGTGGGGCAAATTCGGGGCCGGAGGAGCTTGTGGAGGGCAGTGAGGGGCCCTACAAAGCCCAGGGGGAGCCAAGTCTGAGGGCTCTGGGAGCACAGGCGGGGAAGGAAGAGGTGGAATGGGGAGGGCCGTGGTAAGGCCGAGCTCCCAGCGGTGGGCCACAGATTCAGCTTGGATCTTGGCTGGACGGACGGAGGAGGGCAGTTTCCTTTCTCTGCTGTGGGGGGATCTGGGGCAGCAGAGACCTAGTGAAAGACAGGCCAGGCCCAGAGGGGACGCCGTGTCCTGCCCTTTGTCCTGGGTCTAAGACGAGAGAGAGCACTGGGTGGGGAAGGCTGCGACCAGAAACTGAGGCCACAGGCAGAGGCAGGAGCCAAGGAGGTCAGAGGAGAGGATCCAGGAGAGCTGACAGAGGTGCAGCAGGTAGGCTGGGGGGCGGTGGGGCAGTGGGGGAGTGGGTCTGACAGTGTCAGCCGCTTTTCACCATTGAGGTGTTGGGGAGACCTCTAGCCCTGACTTTGCCCTGCCACCACCACGCTCACCTGCCTCACGGCTGCCCAGAATCTGCGCTGCAGGAAGTCCAGCCTCAATTGGATGCCCACCGCTGTTTTGGGGGAGGGGTGGTGGTGGGAGAAAAAAGACAGTGAGAGAAAAAATAGATTCCAGTTAAAGAGAGAGGGTGCATCTGTGGTGAAGGGGGGTGGGGGCTAATGGGGGAACAAAAGGCGACATCTGTAATACTTTCAACAATAAAGATAATTTTTTGAAAAAGGGGGGTGCATCAGCAGGAACTGAGAGGAGAGAGAGCACCAGGGCGGAGAAGGGGTAGGGAGAGCTCAGGCGGCCAGCAGCATGTGGACTAAGGTTCCTGGCAAGTGGGGTCGGGGAGAAAGGAACGGAGATGGTGGCTTCTGTCTCTCCACAGCGGATGATGCCAGAAAATGGCCCAAGAGAAAGATGAGGCCTGGGTTCTAGAGAACAATTAGTTTGGCATTCATCCTCGGATCTTAGGACTCAAGGCAGGTACACTGGGCAGACCATTCCTCCTTCCCTCAGATGAAAAAGTAGATGCAGAGAGACTGAACCATTTGTTCAAGGTCACATGACCCAAAGTGGTAGAACTGATGGCCCCTGTGGGTTGGGTAGCTCACAGGCCTCCTAGCTTCCCAGCCTGACTTAACAACTTCTCTTGTACCCAGTTTCTCCCAGATTTATAGGCAGAAAACTAGAGACTGTCCAGCCTGCAAAAACTACTCTTTTGATGATGCCACTTACAAGGGCCACCATGCCTCTTTGGTTCCCAAATAGGTGTAGAGGATGCAAGCTGGTGCTCAAATCCTAAGAGAAATTTTGGCCCAAAGAATAGGAAAAAAGCAGCTTATATTGAAAAGAAAAGGAATGAAAAAACTAGGCCGACTTCCTACTGCCTGGTATAATAATATCGAAAATGTGTTGAGTGTCAGGGACGTTTATGTCCCTGAGCTTGTTTCATCCACACAGCAGACCAGTTCTATTATTGTTCAAACTTCACAGCTGAGGAAAGAGAGGCTGACAGAGATTACAGGGCTTATCCAAGTCACCTGGCCCCTAAATACAGAACCAGGACGATGGGCCTGTCCCTAAGGCTTTTAACCTCTCTATTTCCTAGGCCTGACTCAGCCCCGGGATCAGGAAGGAGCAAGAGGCCAGCACTCGCCCACTCTGGGCCTCAGTCCCCTCATCTGTAAAGTGGGAATACACCTGGGTTCCCAGCCATTCTGCTGTTTTCATGAGACATTCTACAGTCACCCTGATGGCATTCACTGGAGAGATTTTCCATAACAATCATTCTAACTTCCTGAAATTCAGACTATTCTTTTAAAATGTACTGGACTTCCAGTGTGGCACAGATACAGAATTGTATCCTTTGTTTTTTTCAGTATGAAATGATCCTAGAGAAATTCGATGGGGAAAAAAGGGAGAGACCAGGGAAGGGTCAAGGGGCTAGAGTTCCAGCCTTGGTTGGGGCTAGAGTCTTGATTCTCTAGCTTTAGCATGCATCAGAATCACAAGGAAGGTTTGTTAAAACCCCATCCCCAGAGCTTCCCATTCCATAGGTCTGGGTGGGGCCTGAGAATCTGCATTTCTAAAGTGCTCTCAGGTGATGGTGCTGTTGCTGTCCAAGGACCATATTTTGGGAAGCACTATTGTAAAACATCACTAATTGAACTTCCTGAGATGATGAAGCTGTTCTAGATCTGACTTGTCCCACACAGTAGTCACTAGTCACATGTGGCTTTTGAGCCCTTGAAATGTGGCTACTGTGACTGAGGAGCTGAGTTTTAATTTTTATTTAATTTTAATTAATTTAAATAGCTACGTATGGCTGGTGGCCACCATGTTGGAAAATGCAATTCTAGAGCTCTGCGTGTGCAGATGAAGATACTGAGGCCCTGAGAGGCCCTCTCCTCCCTGGAACTTTCACGGCCATTCTGAGGCTGGAGCTCTGGCCACCCTCTTGGACAGGTCCTATGATATGGGAACATTTGAATTCTATAGGGGCTTCTTTGTTGCTTCAAGGTCCAGGTGGCCCAACAGTGTAGGAGGGAAGGGGACAGGTAGACCCACTTCTTGGTTCATGAGAGAGACGGACACAGCAGGAGTGATCAGCAGCCCTGGTTGCCACTCCCCTCGTCCCTCTCACATCTCCCTCCTTCTGAGGCTGCAGGTGGCCCTCAATCACTCCGCCTGATTCTTCCTTTTAAGACCACTCTTGATATTCATTTTAGATAGATTTTTTTTTCACCTGTAGAAAAAGACTGAATGAAAGAGGAGGAACCTGCCCTAGTGTTGGCCTTTGGACTGAAAGGTTGTGAATTCGATTCCCGTCAAGGGCATGTACCTCCGTTTCAGGCTCGATCACCAGCCCTGGGCTGGGGCGCATCAGGAGGCAACCAATAGATGTGTCTCCCTCACATCGATGTTTCTTTCTCTCNACCCCACTCAAGAATGGAGAGCTCCCTCTCTCACCTTGGCATCAAAGGAGTTGTCTGCCACTCGAGCATCTACCTCAATTTCCTCCTCCCGGATCCTTCGGAATGGGGATGATGCCCTTTTTTCTGCCTGAAGGATGAAGTACGAAATTAAAGATGGAGTGGGCAGTTAACAGAAAAGTCTTCCCAAGCAACACACATGTGCACGTGAGAGCAGGAAGAGCTGTCAAGATGATTCCAGGTTGTTCTTTGTGCTCGCTAAAGGCTAGCTCCCCATTATCACTTCTAAAATCTAATACCCCATTCCCTCATTTCTCCTTTGTCCAAATGTCTTTATACCCAATGTTGCCTCACAATCTTTGAAATTTTCATGTGTATGTGAATTAAAATTTGGTTTCCTTGTTAAAAAAAATAATAAATAATAATAATGGAAAAAATACCCTTGGGCGAGGATTAACAAAAAAGAAAAAGAAACAAAAAGAAGGGAGGAAACTTCCCTAAAAATTGTCGGAGGGGAGTCACACTAATGCTTAGAATGGTCAGGTCTTTGGGATTTAGGAAAGTTTATTCACCCCGGCCCGTGGTCCCTGTGGTCAAAGAGCTCTCAGGCTATTCCTAGAACAAGACTCTGCCTCTCTACACATTGGTCAGTGCCAAGTCTCAGAGAATCATGACATTTCTGAGCTGGGAGAAATTCCATGATTCTAGCAGAGGGAGTCTCGAGAGGGTGGGCTTAATTCTTCCCTAGTGAAACAGGTTTTTGAGGCTCTTGGGTAGAAATGGCAGGAGTGGGGCACGGAGCAGATTCTCCTCCACTAGGTTCCATCTCACAGCTGGACCATAAGCTCCTCCAAGGCAGGCTCTGGGTCCTGTGCATCTGGGTGTCCTTTGCAGAATTTAGGACATTCCAACTGCCTACTGACCTCTCCGCTTGAGTCACCAATAGGCATTTCAACTTCTTCACATGTTCAAAACCTGACTCTGGCATTTCCTCCCAAAACTTGACTGTCCTTGAGATTTCCCCATTTGGGGGGCACATTCTCCACCTAACTGTCATCATGTTTCTCCACCCCATCCGAGTTCTGCAGACCTTATTCCAGAACGTCATGAGCCTGTCTATCCACTTTCCTCCCCGGTTACCACTCTGGGCTGAACCATCATCTCATTGGGATTAATGTAATAAACCCCTAAGTGGTTTCCCTGCTCTTCATAATCTGTTCTTCACATAGACATGAGACTGATCTTTCTGAAGATCAAATCATGTCACTCCCTTGCTTAAAAACTTCTGATGCCGCCCGGCCAGTGTGGCTCAGTGGATCGAGCGTTGTCCCTGCACCAAGAGGTCACTGGTTTGATTCCCAGTCAGGGCACATGCTTGGATTTTGGGCTTGATCTCCAGTAGGGGGTGTGCAGGAGGCAGCTGATCAATGTTTCTCTCTCATTGATGTTTCTATCTCTCTCTCTCCCTTCCTCTCTCTGAAATCAATTAAAAAACATATTTATAAAAAACAAAACACAAACACACCAGAAAAAACCTTCCAATGCCTTCCCACTGCTCTTTGAACAAAATCTAAACTCCTTTATGATATTGCCTACAGGGCTCTAAGGAGCTGGCTCTGCTGATATCTCTGATTTCAATGGGAATCGCTATCTCCCTCAAATATGCTAACCTCGTTCCCACTCCAGGGTATTCGCATCAGCTGTTCTCTTTTCTTGGGATGCTCTTCCCCTAGAACTTTACATGGCTGGCTCCTTCTTGACATCAGATCTCAGCGCAAGCATCATGTCTTAGAGAGGCCTTCCCTGATCTCTTAGCGCAGAGCAGTCTTCCTCTTTCCCACTCATTCTCTGTCTCATCCCTGTTTCTCTTTTTCTTGTTTTTATCTTCACCTGAGGATATGTTTGTTGATTTGAGAGGGGGAGGAGAGAGAAAGAGAGAGAGACACTTTGATCGGTTGCTTCCTATATGCACTCCAACTGGGGATCAAACCCGCAACCTAGGGTATGTGCCCTGACCAGGAATGGAACCTGCAACCTTTTGGTGTACAGGACGATGCTCCAACCAACTGAGCCACCTGGCCAGGGCCACTCTTTTTATTTTCTAAGCAACATGGTTTATTTATTTTATTTTCATTTATTGTCTGTCTCACACTGTTAGAATGGCTAGTAGCAGGCAAAGGGGTTGACTCCTGATCCCAACACCTAGAATAGTACCTAGCACATAGTGGGGTACAATAAAGAAATACTTGTGAATTCCATTGCATCAGCCACTTGATTGGGAAGCAAATTCTACAAGATCCCTTTGTCCCTTGCCTTGGGTTTGAGACTTGCTGAACTCCTTTTTGCCATACAGAGCTCTGCCCTTTTACAGATGCTGGACTTGAGATCCTAGAGATTCAGCTGTGCTCTAATTCCCTTGAAGACCTAGGAGGAAATCCACTAAGAAACAGGGAATTTAGGTGAGACACGAAGACCTGCCTCATGGTAAGAACTGTTGGATGCTGGGGGGAAGGTGGTGAGGAGCATGGGAACATCGTTAACAAGTCAACTGCATTCCGCCACGCCTAGTGGCTTGTGTGCCTTGCCTTAATAATTCCAGATCTTCTCTTCAACTCCTGCCTCACAACCTGAA